GGTCCAGTCGGAGAATGACCCTGTCATTATGGATGAGGTACGAATTGTCCCTGACTGACAGGGCAGCCAGTTCTGACACCCTTCTTGCTGATGTAATGGCGATGAGGAAGGCCATCTTGAAGGAAAGGTGCCTGATGGAAGATAGGAGATATTCTGAGAGAGCCCTGAGAACAACAGCAAGGTCCCAGGACAGGTATTGATGGATCACCTGCGGCCGCAGGTTTGATGAGCCCTTAAGGAAGGGCCGTACGCTGGGGTGATGGCTGAGTGATTAGGAAGAGTCTACAGATATTACAGTGGCCAGTGCAGCGACTTGGCGTTGTAAGGTGTTTGGAGTTAGTCCGTTATTGAATCCCTCTTGGAGGAAGTCCAGTATTTGAGGGAGAGACATGGAAAGTGGCTCTAGGTGATGTGAGCCACAACAGGTGGAGAAGGTAGACCACGTGGCCCCGTAGATCCTGGTGGTGGAAGGACACCGGTCACCTGGATGGTATGAATGACTTGCCTTGAGAATTTGGCTTGAGCTAGGAGATCCCCCTCAAGTGCCAGCAGTCAGATTGAGCTCGTATGACCCCCTGCCTGAGGGAGACCAATTCCTGGGGAATTCTCCAAGGTTGGATGACCAAAAGGTCGACTAGTGAAGTGCCGAATTTGAGACACAGCTGACGGAACAGTTCAGATGGAGGCGCTACTCCAACTGATCCAAAGTGGCCCTGCTTAACCAATTCGCCCGAACGTTGTTTATCCCTGATATATGTTCCGCTCTTATGGAGCTAACATGATGCTCTGTCCACCGTCCGAGTGCATCCGCCTCCGCCATCAATGTGCTGGATCTGGTGCCACCTTGGCGATTGATGTGTGCCTTCGCCGCCATTGTCCGTACGGACAAGCACATGGTGCCCCTGCAGGTCTGACTGGAACTTGCGCAGAGCAAGGCAGACCACCCTCTTTATGTTGAGGGCAAGCACCTGCCCTGCACTACCTTGTTGCGGAGGTGAGTTCCAACCAAAGAGGCTGGCATCCGACGAAAGGATCACGCACTCAGGTTCTTGAAACAACGAGCCCTTCCTCAATGCTGGTGTCTGCCATCTCTGAGGGAGCATAGTACTTCGGCGATGAGTGAACGTGGGCCCTGGAGTTGCTGGCATTGGCTCTCTGCGATGGAAGGAGGAACCATTGCAACTCTTTTGCGTGCAGCCTTGCCCAGGGAACAATTGCCAAAGAGGAAATCATCTTGCCCAGCAATTACGACAGCAGGACTACGGGGACGGTGGGAGACCTTTGAACCTGCTGTACCAGCTCTTGGAGACTGTGAATCCGATCTGGAGACAGGGACACAAGACATAATGAAGTCTCAATCACCGCTCCCAAGTGTTAACACTCTTGTGGAGGGAGTGAGATGACTCTTCTTGTGGTTGATGGAAAACCCGTGGTACTGCAGGGAGTCCATGGTGACTTTCAGGTCTTGCTGCGCTACCGTGTTGGATGATGACTGGATCAAAATGTCATCCAGATAACATTGTAGACCAATGGGGCACTTTTGGATGTCCGCCGCCACTGCGGCCAGTATCTTTGTGAAGACCCTCAGGGCTGATGACAGCCGAAGGGGAGGGCCCGATACTGGTAATGCCGGCTGGCATAATAAAATCGTAGGAATCGCCTGTTGGCCAGTCTTTATCGGAAGGTAGAGGTAGGCCTCCTGTAAGTTGATGGAAGTCATCAGATTCC